TTTTTTGAGCACTTCTTTTTTTTTAATTTTTTTTTTTAATGTTTATTTCTGAGACAGAGAGAGACAGAGTATGAGTGGGGGAGGGACAGAGAGAGAGGAAGAGACAGAATCCGGAGCAGGCTCCAGGCTCTGAGCTGTCAGCACAGAGCCCGACGCGGGGCTAGAACTCACAAACCATGAGATCATGACCTGAGCTGAAGTCGGACACTCAACCGACTGAGACACCCAGGTGCCCCAACACTTCTTTACTTTCTAGCACTACAGCATGCTTTAGGCTCAATTTGTTTATTCCCTTCTCTGACCTAGAATCAGGCATGTCGCCAAGGAACCCTGCTTTCTCTTTTGGAGAATGGTGTTGGAAAACCAGGACCAGGGCACTGGATGTGCTCATTGTTACTAAGGTATATGTACCTTTAGGTCCTCTCAGTGGACTGAACTAGGAAATACATGTATTTCATAGTATGTACATAGGTACATACTTTAGGTACATAATGGTAACGTGGGCATATTGTTTTATTTTTGTCATTCTACTTAAGAACATTTGACTTTAGTGCCTATTTTTAAGCCTCATTTTAGGTAGTGGACAGGGTAGGGAACCTAGTTGAAGGTAACCTTGTGATAGTGGTATCTTGTCTTTTTACAAAAAAGTCTTTTTACCAAGACCCTTTTTAAGACAAAAATAGTCCTCAAGGCACTATGGTTTGTTTCCAAAGTCCCATAACTGAATTGTTTAGAATGTAGAATAAAATTTCCCTTAACACCAAATATATTAAGTGTAGTTTAATTTTTTTTAGCATGGCCTACAGAAATCTTTTATTTTCTATCTCTTGCCCACCTCAATTCTTACCACCTCCCCATGCTTCCTAACATTCTAATCATACAAAACTGCTTGACATTTCCTAACCTGCAATACATACTCTCATATCTCTTTGTGTTTACCTGTAGTATTCCTTCTAGATTGCCCTTCTCTTTGATTCACTCAGACGATTTTCATTCAGTTTTCAAAAGTCAGCTCAGGTTGTAGATCTTCTATCAATCCCCCCTTAACTGGTCCAGATATATTTAGGACATTAGGAGTTTCTTCTTCTCCTCCTCCTCCTCCTCCTCCTCCTCCTCCTCCTTCTTCTTCTTCTTCTTCTTCTTCGTAAGTTTATTTTTGAGAGAGGGAGAGCGAGAGCATGAGTGGGGAGGGCAGAGAGAGAGAGAGAGAGAGAGAGAGAGAGAGAATCCAAACAGGCTCCACGTGTCAGGCTCGAACTCATGAACCGTGAGAGCATGGCCTAAGCTAAAATCAGGAGTCATACCCTTAATGCACTGAACCACCCAGGTGCCCCTAGGAGTTCTTTCTTCTATGTTAATATTTCTCGAAGTGTGATTTCAGGACCACTTGCAAGAATCGCCTGAGACAGGGGCACCTGGGTGGCTCAGTTGGTTGAGCATCCAACTCCGGCT